CTCATTTTGAGCGATATTCTCCTTCCTCATTTTCTGCCGAGCAGATAGCTTGGCATTGGATGGCTCTATGTGTGGCATCATGCTATCAGAAAGGCGTAGCTATAGGCCCCTAGACCATAACTATAGCTATCAACTACATCTATTTCATTCAGCACTCGGTGATTGATAATGATGAATACCTAAAGACAATCCCCGCGATCGAGCAACACGACTAGTGGGTATTCAGATATAAACTATTAGCTCATGAGTCTTCCTAGTGAAGGAAACGCTAAAAAAGTCACACCCCTACTGAAGACCCTTCCTTGACATCCACGCAATCTCACTGTACCAGTTTATGGACCTGCTGGCATCGACAAACTGCAGCCTCTGCGCAACCCAGGCTCAATAACTTTTCTTCGCATGTTTCAGTGTTACACGTCATCCATGAGAAAAAGAAACTGGAAGAAAGCTGTCCACGCGAAACAACTGACGAGTTTGTGTACGAAATCAGGACTACGGTAAGCAATGCACGACGAGCTCCAACCTGCAATTGCATCTTTGCCGAATTTGAGCATCGCCCTAACGCGTCTCGCTTAGCGAAGTGGACTGTTGTTAATTTTGGTTTCAAAAAAGGTAGCGAGGGGAAGTAGAACAACTTGTGAAATCGCAGGGGACTACGAGCAAACACTCTTTGCGAAGAATCAATTTCCTTCGACGCTGCAGGCAACAGAACGCACACACCCTGTGACATTTTAATGTAGTTTAGTGTAATGTAATGAAGGATAAAGTCTTCGCTGTTGATCAATCTCTGTGTGGGATGCGGCACGGATACGGCCCTTGCGCTCTCACGAGTTGTTCTACTTTCCCTCGCTACCTTTTTTGAAACCAAAATTAACAGCAGTCCACTTCGCTAAGCGAGAAGCGTTAGGGCGATGCTAAAATTCAACAAAGATGCAACTGCAGGTTGGAGCTCGTCGTGCATTGCTTACCGTAGTCCTAATTTCGTACACAACTTTTCGTCAGTTGTTTCGCGTTGACAGCTTTCTTCCAGTTTCTTTTTCTCATGAATGACGGGTACGTTCTCCACGACAACGCTCGGCTTCATGTCGTTCGACGCCTCGTGAAACACTGATGAAGCTCGGTGGTATCCCGTTGCACCACCCTATTCTCCAGACCTTGCACCGTCAGACTGTCATTTGCTCAGACCGCTCAAGGCTTCTTGTCCTAGGAAAACTTTTGTTAAATATGATGATGTAATTTCGGCAGTCACCGAGTTCTTCGACTCCCAGACTCCAGCATTCCCGGGGAAGGGGATCGGTGATTTGCCTGTTAAGTGGAGCAATGTTATTGCTAATGACGGTGATTATATTACTGATCAATTGTCATGATCATCCTCACTGGGTCATGACTCACTGAAGGTCATTTAAAGTTACCCCCAGTTAGATTAGTTTTTGCCACACAGCCTGAAAAAATTCTCACCGTAGGAGGTCAGGCATGTCTAGCCGCTTCGACCGCCATTCCGAGTGACAAAAGTGGTACTTTCTCTGCGAGTGCGGACCTGGCTACCAGATGCCAGATGCATGTGGAGGGAGGAGGTATATAGCATATGTGAAACGAGAAAATCGCGAAAAGTCAACAAGGGGTAAAAATTTTTCCAGGCGCCGCAAATGCGAATTTCTCTCAAAGGCTAATACGACCCTCCTCCTATCCCAACAACGAGCAAGTACGACCGCCACTTATATCGCCCGTGAAACAAGAAAAACCAACTATCGAAAAAAAATAGTTTCTCAGTTTTCTAGGACCAAATACGACCCCCCCCCCGCTGGGGATTCCCCAACATACTACGTGCTCTGATAGACACCACCTCTGTTACCACCGTGAACATATAGCTCTGTACGACAAAATTACCAACAAAGTCTACTAGTTTCAAGGAGGAGAGTAAGGCCAAAGGGAATAAAGCGATAATGGAGAACCTCGAGAGCACAATTCAGAAGCCGAACAACCAGTTCAAACTGGGCAGGTTGCAGCATTGCTTTTGTAACTGGTACAGCCGCACTTGCGAGCTGGCGACAAAGAGCTACTCTAGCAGCTACCACGCGTAGTGAAAGCTCCACAGCGCACATCATCTGCAATAAGCCATGAATTATTATTCGGCCAAAGAAATGACGAAACGAAAAAATTCCATGCTCATCAACGCTTCGTTTCCCTTATGTACACACTATGATTAATCAAAATCGAAATAGTGGCCTAGAATCAGCCTACCTTTCTCGCTTCGGATAAGCGATTGTCGAATATGGCATCTACACAGGCACTGAGAACCTAAAATAACAGATGGGCGCATTGCAGACATGCAAATTCAACTGAACAGGCACCGTGGTGAAGAACCACCACCAAGAAATACATAGTGGCCGGAAAAATGCTTTACAACTAAACAATAGAATTGGAACTAAAGAGTACACGAACCCAAAGTCGCCTACTATTCGCACCAATATGCTCCTCGAACACATTTAGTTTTTCGGGAACCGGCACCACCTGAAGACTATCTTAGTGACGGTACAGAACAGAACTTCTCAATACAACTTAACTTAGGGCCCACTCGTCCATAATCATCGAGGCTCCAGTGCAGTCTATTCTGTTCAACAAGGGCGTTGATCTGAGAACAAATGAGCAATTAATACACGACGAAAAAGAACCTTAGTCTCCAAGGTATTCGTTCCGCACCATCTATGTGGCAGCAATCTTGACAGTGTTCAGACCCAACTATGACACGCGTAAACGCGCTACTATAGCATTGGCGGTCCAATGTTATAGACCTGAACGCCGCCGTAGACGGATATCGCGCCGCGCTAGCCGCTTATGTTTTGAAAGTTTAGTATAATTCGTTTAGTATAAACGAATTCGTTTTTAACGGGTTCAAGTTGTCAGCAAGCCCCAGTACTGTTGTCACCTCTCTGCGTTCTGGACCAAGGACCAGGATCTCGCGGGTGGACCCTTTCATCTACCTGAAGGGGAAAATGACCTTATCATCCTGTCACAATGATGGTCCCGGTTCTTATTTCCTTTAGAACTTCGACTCACAGCCTATTCCTTCGCTCTTGTTCCCAGTGTTTCGTTTCCTATGTTTGTGTTTTGTTTTGATTTTGTTTTCTTTTCAAATCTTCACTGTGCGATTTGTGTATTTCAAATTTTTTCCTGCGTCTGTGGCACACCCTCGGGTGTATTCAAATAAATAAATAAATAAATAAAAATGGGAAGTGGGCGTTGCCTAATCACACAGCCAGGTACCCTCGTATTCTTCTACACCTTTTCGAAAAACTAGCGGCCGGAGCCGATCGACACCAGTGTGTGATTAAGCATCGCCTACTCTTCTATTATCTTACATTCTCTCCAAACACTAGCGGCCGGCGCTGATTGATATCTGTCCATGGTTGCGTTCCTGTCTATAGCATTGCAACGCCATTGCATTGGTAGCGTGTCGGCGCTCATTATATACAGTTGCGGAAAAAAACTTAGAACAAGCCCAAGTCGCGCGTTTTTAATAGCTTTACCTGAAAGTTTTGAACTGTACATGAAAACGTTGTTTGCTCAAATCAAGTACTCCTAAAAAAGCTACTCTAAAGAAGAGAGTTGGTTGACTGAATTCGTTGCAGGGACAGAATTTTGAAGATTACGGCGATGAGGCACTTTGAGGAAGGGAAGGGGAATGCGGGTGGGGCGAGGGCTGCCAACAGCAGTCGATTTTTATCTCCTTAAACGTATTTTATCTCCTTATCTCCTTTTTATCTCTCTCTACTAATTAGCTTTCCCCGCATGCACGTAAAACTCGGTCAATTCAGGCGGGGGCCGATCCGGGCTTCAACCCTAGACCAGCTTGTGGTAAGTGGCGCCACTTGCCACTACACTATCTCCGCTTAACCAAAATTTTAATATTATTGTATTATAACATTATATTCTTAGCTTCTGACCCTAATACTGGTGTATAAGAGATAAGATGCTTAGAAGCAGATGAAAATGCCTTTTCAAAGCTTGTTCCAAGTTTTTTTTTCCTGTACATCGCGAAGTAGAAATGGTGCCTCATGGAACGGCGCATGAGCCTCGACATTCCTCGCTACTTCTGTGACGTAAAAAAGCTCGAAGAGAATAGTGTACACCACGAACCCTTTCATTACTCAGTGGCCTTCGAGTAGTACCATCATGAGCTGACTCATGATCACTGTTCGCAATGCACAACGATGTCCTCTTTGAAAGATTCGGAGTAGATGTCATAAAACGCTCCTGCTTTTCCTGAAATCATCCATGTTCTCAACGAATGTATTTATATTCAACTGCCACTTCTCGTATGGACAGCGAATTGTAGATAAATATATTTGGTTATTATCCAGTTACCGGCATATAAAGAAAAAAAAGATGTGCGGAATGTCAAACACCGCATCATGAAACATTTGGGCACTACTGAATTATTGGTACCTCCGGATTCAGGCTATTTTTTACCGAATTCTTTCTACACCCCCTTTTTCCTTGGGCAAATTCGGCTGAAAATTCGTTTACCGGAGTAGTGATCTCTTGAATATGAATGTCATATTCGCTTGGCTCGAAACCGCCTGGCGCGGTTTCGCGCGCCAAAATACACTAAATCGACGAATTCGCCCAAAACTTCTCTGCCGTGGTTGTTTGACCTCCTAACATATAAGAAACAAAAGTAGTACAACAATCCTACACAACATTTGAGTTACTCTAAGGTACAAACCGAGCTCGCGAACAACTTATTTTCTGTAATACAATGTAAATGAGACCTACAAATGTCAGCAGCACCATTACAAGTGAACGACCCTTCGCAGTGACACCTCTAGTTAAAAGACTCCAAAAAGGTGACCCACGTGACAATCGCAAGGACTTCTTTATCACTACTGCTAAAAAATTAGCCTCATCGGCTCCATGAGTTAGTCCTTGATGTTGATCTCGGGGGATAACCGCTTGACAGCGAAAGCCTCAAGCAACCTCCTTTTCATTGACTTTTCAATGGGCTTTCCTTCGTGCGGCGTAATAGGGTAAGTTTCAAGCGGGGAGGTGCTTCTCCCTGCCTCAACGGTGAAGCAGAAAGCGATGCCTCGGGAATACTCCTGAGGTAGGAGGAGGGATTCTGCAAAGCTGGCATGTGCTCGTCCACCCTTTTGTAAGGTGGTCGCATGGTCTCACCAACATATCTCTGGCCGCATCCCTCACATGTCTGAGCAAACTGCTCCTCGTAACTGAGGAATTTGGTTATTTGTGTAATACGAGCGACTATTTTGGCCACATTTATCAGGAAACAGAAGAAGCGAATCGGAAAGTCGGGAGAAACTTGGAAGAGAACCGCTATCACCCACTATACAGGGGGGGGGCCAAAAAAAAGTCATTTTGCCTCCATGACTTTCAAGGCGCTATAAGTTACACTTTATTAAATTTTTATCGGACATTTTTACTACCATATTAAAGAGCACATTAAATACTATAATGATACTCCGCCACAGCCTTCTGGAGGAGCGCCATCGAGAGATTCGGCCGCGCGAAAGTGAGTGGGTACCGGAGTTGAGCGAGATCGTTGATTTCTCCGCCACTGTAGACCACCCTGTTGAGCTCCGCCCGAACCGAGTAATTGAGGGGGTTTAGTTCAGGACCCCGCTTAAATACTCCATCTTTTCCAGGTACTCAACGTTCTTCCATTCCAAGTAGGCGAAAGTTTTTCCAACGCCCTTCGATTAAATGTGTTGTCACCCAATCCTGTAGCAGTACAAAGTTTCCAAGAAGGTACGGGCGACGACATGAAGACCACCAGCGCACACCCTCAGTCTGGGGCCCACGAAGAAAATATCGGTTCATCCATTCCAGGTACGGCCGGTCCACACCATCAACCCGCGCCTTGGTGAATGGGGTGAAGATGATGTCCTGGACCGTAGCGACGTTGCCGGAGCTGCTCGATGTTTGAGGTCTTGCAGATCAAGAGTACTGGTCTCCAGGTAGCTATCCATGGGTGATTCCATTCAAGAAGTTCCGCAGCTGTTTGGAGGCCACGTGAATTCCAAAGGCGTTCTCCACTCAGGCCGCGACTGGAGATGACTTCATATTTTGGTGTACATGAAGGTGAATGGCGGCAGCCGGCTCCTGCTTATAGAGGAAGATCTTGGGTATCTTCCGCCCTGGTACTCATATCCACTTCCTCTGTCTGGGCTGCGAAAACTTCGCTCATATGTGACTCGGCCGGAATGACTTTTTTTTGCCCCCCCCCCTGCATATACCTACAAGCTCCGCCCACTGTGGGCGGGTCTCAACACACTTTGAGCGTGCCCTATATTCGCCAGATATTTACATTCTACACTGAGTTTTTTGCGACTTCCAAACACTCTCGCGAACCGGGTTACTGAATTTTGCGAGAAGCACCGCCCACCTTGAGTACGCCCCGCCCATTTAGGGGTGTGCCACAGTTAGTCTGGCGACTCCTTACTAACCTTAGTCGCCAGACTAACTGTGGCGACTCCTTACTAACCTTAGTCCCTTTTTTCCCATCTTTAAGCTGCTCCGGAAGCGAATTATGAACATTTTTCTGCGGAACCCCAAACTTTCGGCGAGTGCCCCGCCCACTGTGGGCGGGGCTTCCCATAGGTCAAGTGTGCTTTTTATTTCTTGTCCCATGCCCTACCCATCCCCACCTTGACCCGACCTCTCCAAGTCGTTCTTCAGGTCGAACCGAATTTCCGGACAGACAAACTTACAAACTTACAAACAAACTTACAACTTACAAACTTACAAACTACAAACAAACAAACAGACAAAGCGAATTATATATATAGGGTGATGCTATCTACCCTACCTGCTTTCGTACGTTTAAATGCACGACTGATACCGGCTTTCTGTCATCTCTGCACTTCATCAATGCTCCTTACCATAATGTCATGCACAGTAATAGTGTTGAAAATAGCAGGTATGATGTTATTGGTCAAGGAGCGTTGGTCATCTGTTCAGATAAAAGAAAAGCCGCATATCAGTTGGGTATATAAACATGTGGAAGAAGGTAAGCGCGGCGAAGCCGCGCCCGCCCGGCGAAGCCGGGCCGTATCACAGAAGGAGGCGCGCCGCGTCAGCCGGCGAGCCGACTGGTACAACATAACGTGGTGTCCCTCCTTTGATTCTGGAGGCCGCTAGTTAAAATGTTAACGAACCAGAAGTAAAGGAAGTGAACCAGCCAGCCATCAAGCTGTCACATCTTCGAAATTCTGACCAACTGCAATTCTGAGAAGCTTACTGACAACATCACGGATAAAAATAAAGGATAAAGTCTTCGCCGTTGATCAATCCCTTTGTGGGATGCGGCACGCATTCTACTTCCATTCAGAATCGTAGTGGCTTATTGAATGCGATGTGGCCTATACAATGACTTGCGGTGGCCAGCCGATGTACAAGTCAGTGTTTTATCCTCCCAGACGAATCTGGTACCAATTTACCGTCCCCGGAGGGTAGAAGGCTTGGTTGGCCTGGGCGGGAGTCGACCCGGGATT